TTTGTTTCGTAGGAACACAACAAAAGTTTGAGAACGAAAATCACGTTAGAACTAAATTCCCGTTCGAAAAGTGCGATGTTAAATAACACTACTGTTATTGTACAACCTCTTTGACCTTAACGCGATGGCCAGGCTGTACTGTTTGAGTGGCAAACTTGGAGAAAATCTAGAGTCTTGCCGCGTAAATATTTTATTTAGCCACATGTAGAATAGAACTTTCTGAGAAATGACCGAGTACCACATATTTCAGTCTTATGGCATTCAGTCGTTAGTTTCTTCAATCAGCTATGACATTAACGAGGTCCTGCGAACAGCTAATTAACACTCTATTTTAACTTCAACGACTTGACCACTGGACCCATTGAAACACACCATATTTTTTTGGCGGGAAGTTCAGTGGTTCCTCCTTTCTAGTGATGTGGAGTCCTGTCGTTGTCGCCGTTGGAGGTTTGCCCTCTCCTAGTGATAGGGTAGCACTGGTCCGAAAATCATTGCCTTACCCAGAACCCTCCACCATTTTGTCTCATAGGAAGCGAGCCAGGTTAGATAACCTTACCGAGGAGGAGAAAATCATCCGAAGGTACAGTTATTTTCTTATTTAATTTATTGCTGCAGAAAAATACTTAACCGGGAGGCAGCACAGAAGGCGCGTGACCGCAGGAAAGATCTGATGGAAAATATGGAAGAAAATCTAGCTCATCTACGTTGGGAAAATGAGTACCTAAAATCTTCAAACCGAATGCTCCGCCTCAAGTTTATTGAACAAGAGCAAAAGTTTCAAGCACTCCAAGAAAAACTAAGTGGTATTATCAGACATATGGGGAAGTTTTCGGGAAGTCAGATTGAGCCACCAGAGTCAGCTGAACTCCTCCCTCTGCAGAAGGGAGTGGCTCTCTGTCTGTCCGTTCTACTCTTCCTCCACTTTCACAATGTCCTGAAGAATACGTCCAAAACTCCAATCCCGAGGATGTGCCTGAAGATATATCATCAACTTTATTCGATGCTCAAACCGTCGAAGTCTCATCTCAAAATATGTCTGAAACCAAACAGTCTGGAGACAGCAATTGCTCTGACGACCTGAATCCATATTCTCCTTGCTTGTACGATAGTATATTGAACAGTCTACAAGATGACAACATAGAAGACATCCCTGGATTGAAAGATGCTTACAATTCGGAAGAAAGCTTGGATGAACTACTGGATGTTTTAAAATGTGACGCGTGTGATGATTTATCCACAGAAATTCTCTTTTAACATTTTCCAGACCCCGTGATCCTGTCACTAAGGTCCTTAGCCATAGTGGCGTTGTACATATGACTTTGTCAGCTTACTTAATTATTCCACTGTTTTCATTCTAAATCTGGCGTTTTTGGCATTTACCCGGGAAAATAGTGAGATACTGTCAACTGGACAGATGTCCATCGCTCTGTATTCATTAGTGTGGTATGCGTCTTACGTACTTGGCGACGCATATTTTAGTTTCGTCCACAGATCGCAATGCCTTTCATATCTAAGTTTCGTAATGGTAGGGTAAGAAACTGAACACATAGATTTCCCTAATGTCATGCTTGGACAATTATAATTCGATAACAAGAAGTCAGTTACTTATTCTCAGGAGGGTATTATCCATAGGGTCATAACTGGAGGGTTTCCAGACCGAGTTGGGGACCGACGTGCTGGTTTTTATCAATAGTTTGCCTGGGTTATTGCTTTTCGAGCCGATTAGATGTTTACGGAATGTACTGTGTCACTGGGATTTGTGAGATCCCAACTATGGACGCGTGGCCGTTTACTAGTAGTCTTTGGTGCCGTCGCTGACATTTCATAATGTTGACTTCAGGTGCCGGTGGGGGTCACGTTTGGTGGACTTTTCCGAACTTGTATGGAGAAGTCAGGGTAGTGGTGTGCTTGAGGTGTGGAACGCAAGTTGTCTGTCTCGGGGGACTGACCACGTCGCCTGCTGTTTTCCGACCTGACGGTTGCAACCCAATGGGCAAGATGAGAAGTGATGGCCGAGCGTGTTGTGCTTGGTCCAGTTTTTTGTGGAACCGGCTATTCCCAATACGTGGGAATGATGGCCGTAGCACGGTTCGTTCCAAAGGAGGTCCGCTATGTCTCATACTATCCGAGTAGTAAACCTCGAAGTCAGCGACTTGTATACTTTAAGAGGGAAAAAATCGGGTCTCCTTAGTTCTAACTCGATCTCGATAGATGACACTAATATAAAACGTAGTGAAAAATGATCGTTTTTCCTACGGAAGACGAGTGTCGCGTATAGACTCCCGCATAGCATATCTTGGGAACATGGGCATTTTCGATAGTTCACAGTACGAAGTAGAGGCATAGCTATATCTGTAAGCCGCACAACAGTCAGCCGGATATCATGGATGTTGTTTGCAAACGTGAAATCCTCAGAACCGCGAGGATCTGCCTTCGTTTGTTCGTCAGATCCTTACATAAGTTACTTTCATCTTGCGGTTGTGATGAGTGGTGGCGAGACTGAGGTGCTTAAGGTTGAGAATAAGGTTCTAATTAATTGGACAAGTTCGATGAATAGGAAGGGAGTAGTTTGTTTGCTTAACTGTCCTATGTTATGCATAACTGCTTGGGACTACGGATAGTTTAGATCCCTAATGTAACAGGATATCGGGACAGGTCTCCCTTTGTCTAACATGTTCATTGTTTAGAAAATATTGCGGGTGGTCCAACACATGTTTAATAGTCTGTGATCGTACACTTTATGTAGACGTATGAAATGTAAGTTAACGAATAGAAAATCGAAGTGAAAACGGCAATACGAACAATTGTATAAGAATAGTCGTACGAAAAAGGATGAATAAGAGATGTGGAGCAGTGGGGTGCTCATAATTTGCAATTTTTAACCGTAAATCATGATGTACGTTATGCTTCAGTAGATAGCTCTGACTGAATTGGCTTAGTAGACTTGTCTACCTTTCAGTGTCCAAACATTTCCCTAGTATATTATGGTAGGAATTAAAAAACTAGGGTCTAATGCTTTTTAAATTTATCTTCAGTTATTTCGTGCCATATTATCACTATGGTATCTATTTCCAATCTCCGCTTAATTAATTTCTCTACATACTAGGCTATTGAGTTATAAATCTCAATCTAAGTCCCTAATGAATTATAAACCATTATTTAGATAAAGCTTCTGTGTAGTAGTAAGCGCACATAATCATATGAGATTAGAATAGTGGCAATATACGGGCCTTGAGTTAACTGATTGGTATGTATCGAATTAGCCATCTCTGTTGAAAGTTTAAATATACAAGATGGAGTTACGAGCGTTCATCACCAGTTGATTTAGCGTTCGAGTGAGTCAGTTTGGTAATTCCCAACAAAATCTTGGATGAGTAACAGGGTTAGTTGGTTTATTCGACTTGTGGCTACACTCACCCTTTTCACTAAGAGCCTTTGGAAATCTGATTTGTTTGGGTACTTGTCTGTGACGGAAGTGGACTAGCAGGAGAAAGATCAGCTTACGGTAATCTGTTATTCAAACGGTAATCAGACTGTGGGACATTCATTTTACAATGACAGCATTACACTTAAGATAAGACAAATTAACAAATGAGAGCTTCATGTAACATGAATGAAGTAGCAAGCAGTAGAGCCAATACAACAGGACCCATATTCTCGTATCACTACATTACGATGGTTGACCTCATCCAAACATATTGTATCAAAGAGTAGCGACCTAAATACGCATGTTTTTGCTGTTTTAACGAGTTAGTCTTGGACCTAAGGAATGCTTTACTTTCTCTTTACTAATAAATCCTATCGTGAGGTAATAAAAAAAGTAAATAAACAAATTAGTGTTGTTAAGATCAATAAGAGTAAAAAAAGAATTAATAGTGTTTTACATTCTACTAATAATTACAAGATTGATTAACCTGTTGATTATTTTACCACTACTATTTTTATACTTGCTTAAGACCGAAAAATAGTGTTTGAACTACACTATAGACAAAAGGATTTAATAATTTACAAGCAATAAATTTACACTTACACACACATACATATATATTAAAATCACATTATGTACTCAACAAAATATAATAGAAGTAGGCGTTAATCTACAATTGACATAACGGTAAAATTTCTGTAAATCATTTAGTTACTTCATGATTATAGGAATACAAATGACGTGGAAAGAAATAACTTTTATCAGAAAGAACATGGAGAGATAAAGATCTAATTTTTTGACATGATATATTTATTTAAGCAGATTAAAAAAGGTTAAAAACAGTACGAGCATGAAAATCAATCATCAAGAAGTTAAATAATATAAAACGTTTTAAGTAGACAACTGTGCGCATTTAATAAAAAATAAATGAAAGTTTGTCGACGAGTCAGTCAAATTAGATAAAAACATAGCCAAAAATAAGTCAGAAAAACATCGACAAGTTATTTCAAAAATAATTTTGACAAAAATATCTTTACAAGGCTTTCGTACTATTCCAACTGCAAGTTATCCAACTGAGAAGTGGTATCACTAAGGGATACATTTGAATATACTTTCGTTCTTTGGTAAGGGAACAGAGAACAAGTTCGACTAGTGCCGGATGTCTGTAAGCTGTACATGGGTGTTATTGAATTAAAATTTATATAATGAGATTGTAACCAATCGATAGCAGGTGATCCTAAATATTGGATTAGTCGAAGCATCGCTCTGCAATCACCTTCTGCACTGTGAGCATGTTTATGCTTTTCACCAAATACACGTTCATGTATATCACCTAAGTGAAAGGAATGTTTGTTTGTAGTAGTAGGTAACTTTATTGGACTAGAATGAGATATAGGAACAGGAGTGGATGACTGGTCATCAGTTGAAATAAAACCCGAATCATCTGGATTTACTCCAGCCAACTGGGAGGCGAACTCGCGAAATAAAGGTAATGTGTCTGTACATATAATTGGTGCATTTGTAGAGTCATTCAGATTGTAATTTTTTCCTTTGACACTCATTATCTGAGCTCTCAACAATGGAAAGTCAAAACGCAGTCCATTATGGGCGATAAAACATACAGGTGAATCCAATCGATTAAGAAACAACTGGATAAGATCCACTGCACTAGCATCAAAATCCTCTGATGGAACAAATTATCAGAATTTAAACCTTTCGTGTTTAAGAGAATTAGAGATACATATACTTACCGGAGATTTTAGATGCTATCGATGAAATAGTTCTAGTAGGATTGAAGCATAGTGTGAGTTTATTTTCTACTCTAGGTTCATCAGTGGCATTCTCCAAACTGAATCGACTACAAGCCAACATACATAGTTCTGTAATTTCTGGATTAAAGTTTGCAGATGGTAATCCCGTGGTTTCAACATCAAATAAAACTAGAGTTGACAAGAATAGTGGTCGTGAAGACTTCTAGAAAGTAGGCAAGACAAAAACAGAAAACTTACGCCTAGTGCTGAAAATTTCATTTTATATTACACGCACGGTTAGTAGACACGACCCTACACTAGAAAAAAAAAACCAAAAATCAATGAATAACTGCTTCACATAGTTGTAATCATTAGAGGCACGCAAATATAACAAGGTGAGGCTTTTAAAAGAAATGTTTTAGCCAAATTACAATCAAAATGATGGTCATTTGAGACAATAATACGGATAGTAAGAAAATACGAGCGGTGATTAGTGTCTTCTTAGCTATAGGAGAATCCCATCAAGAGCTTCAGTCAGAGGTCACGTTAATTTTTCGATTTTTGAGTATTTTTAGGACAAACTAACTAGTTTAATGATAAAATAATAGTTACAAGTGGTGGGGACTTGAATCAATAAGAATTTGTGCTAAATCCCGTTATTTATGGATGGTCATTGCCTGGATTCTAGATAGTAAGGTGCTTAACCTGCTATCCAACACCAGAAAGTCAAGTGCCTTAGACACGAAACTACTAGTCAGTAGTCCTGCTTGAAACTAAAATTAACGTAACTGAGTGATCAAGTGTGGACAACTGTTCTCATCTTTAAAATCCACTTATTGTGTGAGAGTTATTGGGCCAATAGTTTACAACTCCCAGGAAACCTTTACATGGAAGTGCATCTTGTTCTGTTCCGTAGAACTAGTCATTCTAATGGTTTTTTAATTAACATTGCAGTAGTGAGGCTCTAATAACGGAAGCTGGTGTGATATTGAATAAGTTAGCGGTCAGAAATAGATAACTTGTACTAGTAAGAGATATCCAAATAGACAAAATGAAAAGCTCTAGCTATGTGGATAGTGACCAATTAGAAACCTTTTCCTGTGTCCCAGTACAGTTAGGAGTTTGGTTTGATGTTGAATGCCCTAATACAACTTGTTGATATTTTGACTCGAGCAAGTCCTACATACTGAAGGGGTACAAATGTTCCCACTAAACAGAATAAAAAATGTTCGATGATTTCAAGAAAATAATAGGTATGATGGTACACCTAAGGAGGGGAAGGTTAAGGAACCAAAATTTTAGATCAGTGGTGTATATGATGTGTTGTGAATTACCCAATGAACAGAGGAAAGACATGCATGACGAAAAGTTTGAACACGAAGCACCACTTGTTAGAAAAAAAAGAATACTATAAGTTTTAGTACAACATCAGCGTCAAATGTACTGAAATTCATCAGTGTTTGGGATAACCTTAGCTACTACGACAAATTGCAGTTAATATAAATGTAAGGTCAATGGTACGTCGTGTGTCAACTAAAATAACGAGATAATGAAGAGTCAAGGGTCGCAAACAGTTTTCAAAATTAACCTACACTCTTTATGTCGTGCGCCACAACCGGGGTGCGTTAGGAATAAAAAAAGAGTGGATACGCAGTTAATACATGAACGCTAAGCTAAGAAACTACCTCAACAAGCCGTGTTATATTAAATCAATTCGAAACAAAAAAACCACTAATAATAGTAAGTAGAGGACTTTTTGAGATTATCCAATGACATGACAACCCAATCTCCTAACTTTGGGGAAGTCCCCAAAGTCAAATGACTTTCACCAGGGTTTAAGGGAAAACCCCAGATCTAAGGAAATTTCGGGGTTTTGGTGCCATTTCCTCCAAATGGGTCAAATCTTCCTAAAAATTGGGGATAATATTGAGAATTTGAACTTGCTATAATGGATACAAGTGACAAGTCACAGGATATCTGAATAAAAAGCTAGGTATTTAAAATTAAAGCAATCCGGATATTTTTGCTGGACATCTTAGCAGGTGCTAAGATGTCAATAAACAGTACTGTTTATGGAAGACTATGCTTCAAAAAGATAGAAAATTAGGCTCAAACTAAGGTGCTATGCACGTTACAAACACTCGGTAATATTACTAAATGATTCCTGAAAAAAACATATTTAAAAAGTGCCAGCCAGATTCTGCACCTCTAAACTACCTATGAAATCTACTATCATGTGTAACTTGCTTTGAACAGCGCCAATTGTGTAGGTCGCAAGCGTAGTCGGTTTCAACAATAATAAATTTCAGACAAACATGTTCACTGTCAGGTTATTCTAAATACTGAGTTGTGGAAAGTGACACTGCAAAAAGACTATTTTGATCCTATTTGGTTGATAAAATAGGCGATTCGGAAAACAAAGTAGTTCGGGTGGCCAAATTTTGTCATGACTCTAGAAGAAGGGTAAGGTTTCCAGAAAATTTAAACGACTACTTGGCGTAAGGCAATGTATAACGTTTCGAATCACGTCCATGTTTTTATATTGCTGCGTAAATAAAAAAACAGAAAGTTTGTTTGCATGTATATAATTTCTACTCTTAAAATCCAATAAAGAATGTTTGTGCAAAACTTTGTTGCTGTCGCATAGTATCTATACGCATTTTTATCGGATTTCTGCACTTTTCACATTCACATGCACGTATGAGTGTATTTCAACATACACCTTTTTTCAAGACGGCTGGAAAAATGATAAACTGACTAAAATGACAATGAATCGAAACATCCACTGTAAATTTTTTGATCTGTTATATCGTGTTAAATGGTCCCTTATATCAGGTAAAGACGGCAAGATCCTGGTAAATATAGGAAACTATAAGAATAGTGTTTATCAATGGCAAGCTAGTTAGACTTAAACCCATGGATGGTTACGTCTTGGAGTATTTACTACCCCATGAGGAGGGAATGAGCTGTAGCAGTAAATAAATCCCCAAAATAAATAGTTCCGTAATTTTTCGATGTTCTCTAGTTTTACTGAACACACCGTTGCTGAAGGCGCTTGGTCACTCATACGCACCAGTTCACGAGTTGGTACGCCATGCTTCTCAGTCCAACTACAACTTGTGGATATATGCATGACAAGACTAAATTGCAAACAGTTTTGATGTTATTTGTATTTATTGTTGGTTTTTCATAGCCTGTACATTGACCATTAAATTAAGTGTATGACCTTGAACACACCTCCGTCGTGTTACACTCGTAGCATGACGCATGTTGTTACCTACTAACAAATACACTGCTATACACATACCTCTTATTCTTCATTGCTCGTAATTGTGTTAACTGGACTTTAAATCAACTACCGTCAATATTTATAGACTACAACCAAATTATACCATATTTGATGCTTGATTATCTGACCGGACGGACATCAATCCTACTGGAATCTTCAGTTATCTATAACTGTGGTGTGGTGGACCAGACAAGTATGAACGCAAAAAGTATAAACAAAGTTACTAAAGATAAATAGTAATATTAATATATGCAGTTAATTGTTACAAATACGATAAAAAATTAGGGACGTTACTTAAATTGACCCAACGTTGCGTGTTCTGATTAGGTCCGGTAAGGTTAATCCACAATTATGAATGCTTGATGATTCTGAGCAAGTTGGTGAACTCTATAGTGATAGAATCCCACGTAGGATGTGATATATTCCAATTACAGTCTATAAATAATGATAATATTTGATTTAGACTTCAGTTAACTCAATCGCAAATGAAAATAGAACGAGGGATGCGTGAATAGTAATGTATTTCTTAGTCGGCAAGAATATGTCACGCTATGTAGTAGCTCAACGGAAAGTGTGTTCAAGGTCAATGACTAAAACAACACGTACAGTCATTTAATGATGAATGTACATACAGTGAAAAATTGACAAACAAATACAAATAACATTAAAAACTATTTACAAAATAAGGTTGTTAGAGTTATCCCCACAGTGGTTTTTGTACTAAATTCAAACGGAACACGCACAAACCTGCTGGATTAAGTAACGTCACTAATTTTTGTTGTATTTATAATATACAACTGATAAATAATAACATTACAGTTTGTACTTAATAACTCTGTTACCATTTTTGAGCTTATAGTGTGGCGTCGAGTCGCGGTTGACTATGATCACCACTACATGAAGACTACGTGCCGAATATCAAAAAGCAGGTGATGTCTGTGCTCGAGATGTATTTGTTGGCTATCTCGTGGTATCGAAAGAATACCGAGATCGTGCCAGGTTACAAGTGTGGTTACTGAGCGTAAACGAATTCGTGCAATCTACGGAATAATATATGCGTTTTGGTACAGTTAAACAAACAAGTACGGTAAAACAACACGTGGTAAATTGGTTATAATAATAACTTTCCGTTACACCAATCGCGTTCTCTTGGTAAACGTACGTCACTACAAGTTCATATATTATTTGGTCCACCACAACTAGCCAGAATAGGTCGAAGGCTTCTTGACATTTTGGTAACCCGCCAAATATATCTTTAAACCCATTCATTTATGACTTATGATTGACTGACTTGGTATTCTTTAGTCGAAAAGGTTTAGGATGAACGAACATTGTAAAAAAGTCAAAATGTTTTAGCAAATGCATGATAAACCTTCAATAGCTGTCGCGCGGCTGAGTGAAGTAATTTTCAGACTTTGACTTAAGCCGACTACTGGGTCATTACATATCTGGACAGCAGAAAGCTCAGTTTTATTCACCTTATATGTGTCACAATTGATTGATCACTGGGTGGTGATCAATCTCATGCTTGTCTAGTCCTTATTAGTGCAGATCGAATGCTATCGATCACGTTGCAATGTGGCCACCAGTCTAGGTGACTCGACACTGCGGGCACTATGTATTGAGATTAGATGGTGGTTGGAGGTAGTCAACAGGAAACCCTGGACCCGGAACATGATCGATAGCATTCGATCTGCACTAATAAGGACTAGACAAGCATGAGATTGATCACCACCCAGTGATCAGTCAATTGTGATTACATCTCAGTCCTACAGGAGGTTAGTCACGGCTCGGATAGCTCAGTGGTAACGTCTCTGACTGTGAAGCTGGGTGACACGAGATCGATTCCTCCAGGGAACACCAGTTCCCTCAAGATTACAGGTACACCTTGCTGACGAGTGCCAAGTAGCACGAAACCCGGGTCCAGGGTTTCCTGTTGACTACCTCCAACCACCATCTAACCTTATATGTGTCCTAGCCTTGGTGAACA